CTTTTAGTTGGTGGCAAAAGTGGTATATGCTATGACTTTATTTTCTACACAAATAAAAATAATAAAAAGAAGCATGGATTTTGTACAGATATTGTATTGGATCTTTGTGAAATTGTGCCACGTTTTATCAATCACAAAGTATATTTTGATAATTATTTTACAACTATTCGTTTACAGGTAGAGTTGAGAAAGTTAGGCATTTTTGCAGTTGGTGCGGTAAGATCAAATCGATTAATTGATTTAAACATCAAAAGTGAAAAAGATTTATCAAGGGAAGGTAGGGGTACAATGGATTGTCGTCTCACAGACGTTGAAGGGGTGCAATTATGCGTGACATGATGGTATGATAATAATGTTGTTAATTGTCTTTCTACATTGCACAGTTGTGAACCGATTGAGTTAGCACAACGATAGTCATCAAAACAAAAGAAACACATTCTCATAGAACGACCGAAGATCATACAGGCGTATAATGAACATATGGGAGGAGTCGATTTAATCGACATGTTAATTTCTTTGTATCGAATAAATGTTGGTTCTAAAAAGTATTATATAAAAATCATCTTTCATCTTATTGATTTGTGAGTTGTCAATACATGGTTATTGTACCCACGCCACTGTTGGCAAATAAAGCTTTAAAAAAAGGATATAATGTCTTTATTGACTTTTCGCATAAATATTGCTACTGTTTCACTTAAATCTAGTCCACCACCACCTATCATAAAATGTGATCGACCATCATTAGAATCAAAATTAAATGAAAATAATTCAACAACAATCTCACGAGCTACACCAACTTCAGCTCCACCTTCAAGTACACGATTCGACAAATATGATCATTGGCCTACAATAACATCAAAAGGACTTTGTCGAAATAATGCCTGCAATGGCTATACAAGAATATCTTGTTCCAAATGTAAAATTCGTTTATGCTTGAACGAAAAAAATAACTGTTTTACTAATTATCATAATTAATGCGCCTTTTCTGAAGTGATACTTATTCTACTTTTTTGTTTTATTATTTGTTTGTCTCATCTCTCTATGCATAACTGAACTTTTTAATGATTGTTTTTGTTCCTTTTCGGCCGGATGTTGCCAAATGGCAATATGGAGCCACAAGGTACTGAATAAGTTTTTTGTTTCGAAAAATTTATGTTTGTTATCCTTTCGATGCAACAACAAAAAGTATATAGAAAAAGATTTTGTTCGCTAGTTTCTTTCTGGAACCCGGCTGCAAAGGGTTAATGAGGTTTATCAGACAAACTTTTTTTTGTGTGAAAGTGTTTTCTTCCCATTTCTCTTTGATATTCAAGCAAATTTGTTCAAAGGGAATACCAATGATACCAATATCGCTCTACACAAAAATTGAAGGTGTCTTCACACGCATTGTCCATAGTTGTTCATTCATAAAACTTTGTCTAAAGCAAAAAATAATAACATATTCTGAAAGTGATTGACGAGCTCTACATGTCTAGCTAAAAATATCATTTAAAAAAATTGCAATGGAATAAAGAAAAAG